CTTCTTTATTTGTTTGTGATGCAGTAACAGGACGAGTAACTACAGAATGTTTTTTTGATCCATCTGAAATAGAATATTGTGATGGGTTATTAAGTTTGAGACCTCATCCATTTGATCCATATCGTGTTTACACTATTCCATTTGAAGAACAAGCTTTTAAAATAAAGGGACTTTATGAATGTGATATAATGAATTCCTATTAACGCTAAAAAAATGAATTTAAATTGGAAATTTTTTCATTAATTTCAACTTATTTAAAATTAGAAAATAAAGAAACTGACTTGGAAAATATTTAATTACTAAAGTTACATTTTTAATTGTTTAGAATATTTTTTTCTGTAAACTGTTTGAATTGAGCCAAAATAACATCATTTTTTTCTATCGTAACTGATTTTTCCTTTTGTAAAAGACTAGCCAAATATGAATTAACTTCTTTCCCAATACTTTGAATTTCATTTTGAGAGCAAAGGTATTTTGAATTAAAGAAAACTTTTCTTATTCTTTCAAGTCGTAGCGTTTTTGACGTTGGTTTAGAATACTTTGAATCAAACTGATAATTAAATTCTCTAAGACAATCTATTAAGAAATTTTGTACAAAATATTGCTTATTCTTTGAAAATCTTCTTTGAACTGTTTTATTTGATAAATATTCTTTTCCACTAATTAACTCACATTGTTTTTTAGTAAATTCTCTTAAATTGATCACAGAATGATCAATTATTAATGAATCAACTAACGGCGTTGGAGAAGTTATTGTACATTTTTTACTTTGTTTCTTTAGAGTAATTGCAAGGTATTGATTTAATAAAAGTATTAAAAAGGCTTGTTGATAACAAATATCATTCTTTAATGCATGCTCACTTTCTATTCTTTTAGCCCTAGGATTAATTGTAGAAAGAGAGAGCTGTTCATTACAAGAAGACATTTTTATTCACTTGTAAATTTTTAGTTTTGAAAACCTTTTATATATTTCCAGAAATATTCTCTCAAAACATTGGTTTGTTAAAGAAATAAATTTGGTTTTATTTAATATAAAAACTATTGATTATTTATGTAGAATCTTCTTATTGGAAACGACAAAAATAATTTGAAAAATGATTAACATTAAGACATTTCTTAATACTAATTTTTATTTATCTCTTACTGCCATTTATACACTTCGAATTTCAATCGTTTGTAATTTTTTATTAAAAAAGAAAATTGTTTTAACTTCTGTTTTTTTTTGATTTTAACTATTAAAGTTATCTTATATCAAAAACCCTGTTATTTTCTCATGTCCATTCTATTTTTAATTATCAAAAATACGATCAGTTCTTTTTAATTCGTTTCAATTCGAGTTTGCAATTCGAACTTTTTCTTTTTAAAATGGTTTGCACCATTAACAACAACTGCCAAATATTTTTCTAGAATAAAAAAGAATAAACGAACAATGAGTAAAGTTGCATTTAAACTCTCAACACTAAATTTGTTGTTTAATTTTCTACATTTTTAAATAAATTCAGACTTTAATAAGAACAAAAGTAATTAAAATGAGTTATTTAAAAAAAAATAATAAAAAATAATAAAAAAAGAAAACTTTTATGAATTTTTAATCTTCAAAATCATTGGCATTAACTTCACTTGTTATTTCATTCATCTCTCTTG